GGGGTATGTCCCTGCTATTAAACGATTGTTCCTTATCCCGTTGGATGCAGATCTGGTCCCAGCGTCCAGCGATCCACCTATTTGTGAGCTCTTGGCAAGATTATTGCAGTTTATATCTAGGAATGAAGCCTGAAAAATCCACTACAAAATACAGCAATCTGTCTGCTTAGCAACACAAACTGCTGTGAATGCATCCCCTTGTTCTGCACTCCATGTGCTGACTCCTTATTGAATTCAAAGTAAAGTTCAAGGTTTCTATCCTGATATCCAGGAGTTCCAACTACTGGACTAGCTCCATCTACTAGAGAGATCTCCATTCCCTTCTTAACCAAGACCTCCTGTGACAGCTACACTGCAGAAGCCTGTAAAATAGGAGACAGAACTTCTGGGAAGCTGGATTTAGAATACGGACATACAGTACTCCTGCAAGAGATGGGATTGACCATAGGCCTCACATTATTCCTAACTAAATCCATAGGTCATTTCTTTGACCTAGCTTTCTCCCAATAATTTCTCCACACACACAACACACACAGGTTTCAGAGTAGCAGCCGTGTTAGTCTGTATCCTCAAAAAGAAGAGCAGGCGCACTTGTGGCACCTTAGAGACTAACAAATTTATTAGAGCATAAGCTTTCGTGGACTACAGCCCACTTCTTCAACACACACATTCTCTCTCTCTCTCTCTCTCTCTCTCTCATATACACACAGACATAATCCAAGCCTATAAACCTATAACCTAATCCAAACCTACACCTATAAACTAATCAAGCTATTTCTCCTACAGGCTAGTCAGGAAGAAAACCAGTGAGATGGTTGTTTCTATTTTTAAATACTTGGGAGCCATTCTTATACTGTGGTGATGAGAGCTATGTAAGTCTATAGATAAAAGAGGATGCTGCCATAAATTTTGTGAAATTTACACTCCCACCCACACCTATACCTGCACCTCCTTCTAATGGCCCAGCTTTCTCTGTGTTTATGTATTACCCTAATTTGAGAGTATCAGGAAGAAGACACTGAGCGGGAGTGCACTTGGCCATTTGACACCAAGAGTGAGGTAGCAGCGTGGGGGCAGTGCAAGGAAAAAGCTTTAGATCCCCTGCAGCAAAACATTGCTAAAGGTTGGGGCTTTTCTCTGTTCCTTGCTTGAAGGGCTGCAGGAAATAGATTCTCTCCTGAGGGAGGTTTGTTGATGCTAGAAGATGATAATACTCTCAGATGGCAGAGATAACATGCTTATAAAATGCTATCTGTTTCACTCATAAACTGCTGCTATGCAAAATGATAAGCAAGATGAGTTTAATCTCTAATGGGCTGAGTTCTTATAGACTGTGTTTTCCCATGATAATGAGAACATGAGATTTCAGCAGTGCTTGCAAAGGATGATCTCAAATATCTTCCATATTTTTTGTCTGGTTTCAGCCTGCGTGCTTTGAAATTATTTTTGTTTCTTCTTCTTTTATATTATTTCTGTTACTCTTTTTTCCCATAAGAGTTTCAAAATCATCTTGTAAAATTCAAGAGTTAAACATAATGGACAGTTGCTCAAATTTCCCTCTTAGCACCATGACTAGAAAAGTATACCATAGCTTAAAATTGCTCAAGATAAACTCACGTTGTCACAGTTCAGAGCAACTCCACCTGTATTTCCTCTCCGTGGTCCATCGAGGACACCCACTTTTAGGCTTCTGGCTTCCAGTCATCACCTCTCTTTCATGGAGATGCACGTCTCACCCTCCTTACCAGGTTTTTTCCCATGCTGCACAGTTCCACTGCAAGCCAGACAGCCTACCGGTCAGCAGCTATGCTTTGCTTACTCTCCAGAGGTTATACGCAGCGTAATTGCCCGCAGTTATAAGGTACACACAGCTCTTTCTAAGCAACCTCTTGTATTCTTTAGGTGAAAGCATTACAGAGAAAACATATTAAAAACAATAAAAGAAACTACATGCATGCTGAAAAGCTTACCAGAGTTCACCCCCAACTCCAGCAGGGGCTCTGATAGCAGTTAATCCTTCAAACCCATCCATGTGTTTTTCTGTGATGACAAGTTCACAGCCTCAGCTCAGACCTAGCACAAAGACTGCTCAGATCAGCCTATTTCTTTATAAGCCTTTGATTTCCTCCACCCTTCGGGAACAGCTAATCAGACAGTGGTTCTCTCCTCAGGGCATAGCTTCAAAAGGTTGGTTTTTTTGAAGAACCAATGTAGGGCCTTTGTATTCACCTTCCCCGTGATATTTCCCAGGAATTCCATTTGATGTTTTGTTCCAAAAGGTCATTCTTGTCTGACACATTGTTCAGTATAGTCCTTTGATCATCCTGGCCCAGAATAATACATAACCTTTGCATTGAATACAATAGATTCCAAAGATCCTTAACTTAGTGCAATAAAGTTTTTCAAGGGTATTGCAAGAAATTGTCATACACTCGCAGACATGAGTAACAATAGTTAAAAAAATACTTTAAAAGGAGAACTTGCTGCAGTGTAACTTTGTGTGATTATGCTTATTTAAAAAAAAAAGAGATAAAGTACAGTGGCATTCTCATAATACTTATTCGGCTCTTGTTACACTTTCCCCTCTCTCTCCTGCTCTCTTCTTCCCGCCCCCACCTTCCCATTTAATGTTATGGTACATATTTGCGTGTGCAAGAGAGGGAGCGAGCAAGAGGTAATATTTGGGTATTACATTTCTGTTCTTCTTTGCTGTAATAGACTATAATTGAAAGAAAATGTAAATGGATAGAGAATTGCTTTCAGTCCCATTCACTCAAAGAAAAAACATCTGAAGCTTCTAAAAGAGAACCTCTCCCAGGTAATCGTGGAGGTTGAAAGGAAAGCAGATTCTTTATAACAACCAATAGTTTACATAACCCATTTGACTCTCTTTTTTCTTTAAAATCCATATATTTTGGCTGACTCGAGGAGGAAGTTAGATGGGTGCAAGAGACAGATGGTGTGTGCGTGAGAAGCAGAGATGAGTCAGTTCTCTTAATGTAGTACATTTTTTGACTCCACAAGGGTATTGCAGGAGAAGAGAGCTACTTGATTTAATAAACATCCTCATAAATGTGAGCTGCAATTAATGAATTTTGTAGTTGATTTTTGTTTGGTCATGGCATTGCTATAAGTTTGGAAAAGTGAAGCTGGGGATGCATCAGCTTGGGCACTTAATTTATTTGTGTGTGCTTGATTTGGGTGTACAGGTGCCTGGAAGGACTGTGGCCCCCATTCTACAAGCACTTACACATGTGCTTTACTTTGTTCATATGAGCAGAGTTCTGCATGCACAGACCTGTTGGCTGGGTCAAGGTCTATGTTTACATTGTAATTTGTGTTGGGGTATGTAGTAGTTCCGGGGTGGGGCTCGTCCCTTCCTGGGGCGCCTGGGAGCCAGGCCGCCCCGCTACAAAGCGAATAACAGTTAGGGCCCCGACCTTTGGGTAGGGGCTAAGCACACAATTGATAGTTCAGAGCTCAGGCCCCTATGCAGGGGCTGAGCACACAATTAGCAGTTCAGGGCTCAGACCCTTATGCAGGGGCTGAGCACACAATTAGCAGTTCAGGGCTCAGACCCTTATGCAGGGGCTGAGCACACAATTAGCAGTTCAGGGCTCAGACCCTTATGCAGGGGCTGAGCACACAATTAGCAGCTCCGGCCCTGGGTCAGGGCGGGGCAGCAAACCAATAGTCAGTCAGTGGCCCAGGCCTTGTAGCAGGGGCTGGGTAGCCAACAAATAGTCTGTCAGAGGCCCAGGCCCCTTGGACAAGGAGGAGGAGAGACTGCCACCCAGCGCGGGGTGGCAGGGGGGAACACAGGCCCACCCACTCCACTGTGTTCCAGCCCGGGGCCCTATCCGCAGCAGTCCGTCTGCCGCACAGTCAGTGGGGATCCTGACCGCAACACACTGACATGGGTTCGGGGTCTGCTATCCCCGGGCCACTTCCCATCTCCTCCTCCATGGGTACCTGTTCCTCCTGAGTTCCGTCTGATGGGTCGCAGATCATGGGCTCCTCCGGGCCCCGAGCAGCAGGTGGGTTTGTCGCTCCCTCTGGGCCCTCGGCGGGGGGGAGCTCAGACCGCTCCTCAGGATACCGGGCTCTCGGCAGGCTCGGCCAGTCCTCCTCAGGGTACCGGGCTCTCGGCAGGCTCGGCCAGTCCTCCTCAGGGTACCGGGCTCTCGGCAGGCTCAGGTCCGCAGGAGCTCGGGTACCAGCGTCTGTCCTCTCCAGCTGCTGGCTAGCTACTGAGCGCTGTGGCCTGGCCTTTATACTTCCTGTCCCGCCCCTTGACTTCTGGGGGGCGGGGACAGGCCGCAGTGGCTCCGCCCACTCTGGCGGCTGTTCTGGCTCGTCCCTTCCTGGGAGCCAGGCCGCCCCGCTACAGGGTACCTAGGGATTTGGGATTCCTCCCTCTTCTTATATAAATCAAAATAAATATATATCACGTTGACTCTCTTGTCTTTTACTTTCTTCTGCACTGAATTTTAAAGGTAGATTGTTCTGTAGAATTTCAAATGCAGAGATTATGGGTTTATCTTTTATCATGCAATGAGACTGATACAGTGCAATTTTTTTGTACATCTTTCCCAGAGTAAATACATTTTGAGTATTTTAATGTACAAGTTAAAATATCATTAGTTTTTCCACAATCACAAATCATGTATAGGATAGGCAAATAGATCCTGTGCTTGTGCAAGCCTCAAAATGAGCTTTTCCATTATCTCCTGTTCAGTGACATTCTATCCTTTTCTAGTTAGTGAAATGAAGTTCTGCTTTCTTTAAAAAAAAAAAAATGCTGTAAAGAGAAACCACTTCCTGCTGGCTATGTACTGAAAATTCAGCTGTGATAACTAAAAAGGGGGAACCCTCCTGTTCTTTATTTCCGTCTTTAAAATGCAGACTCTGTCAAACAACAACTGGTGGAGGAGAAGAGCTTAGGTACTCCCCTTTCGGAACTGTATGACTTACGGTTATTCTGTTGTTGCTTTTTGCAGATATTGCAGTGGTGGAGATGAGTGACGCTTTCCGTCAGCCTTCCTTATTCTACCACCTGGGAGTCAGAGAGAGCTTCAGTATGGCCAACAACATTATCCTCTACTGTGATACAAATGCAGACTCTCTGCAGTCGTTGAAGGTAACTCAAGAAAATGTTTAACACTTGCATATCTCTAAACATAGACTCAGATTACTAATGATAATCCAGAGACCATTCAAGGGTTCTGAAAAGAGCTACACGAATGATTAGAAGTTTGGAAAACTTGTTCGGAAAACAGTGACATGCTGAAGAAGGTCAGTCTGTTTAGTTTATCCAAGAAAAAATTAGGAGGTGACTTGGTCATGGTCTGCAAGTACCTGTATGGGGAAGAGATTTCTAATAGTCCGTTACTCTTTAATCTAGTAGAAAAATGCATAACAATATCCCAAGATTGGAAGCTAAAGCTAGATGAATTCAGACTAAAAATAAAGAGCAGATTTTTAACAGTAAGGGTAATTAACCAATGGAGCAATTTTATCTAGTAATGTGGTAGATTCTCCATCACTTGGAGTCCTTAAATCAACTTGGGATGTCCTTTTTAAAAGAGATGCTCTAGATTAGCGGGTTGATGCAGGGATTACTGGGTGAGGTTCTAAGGCCTGTATTTTGCAGGAAGTCAGACTGGATGATCACAGTGGTCCCTTCTGGTCTTAAAGTCTATGAACCTATGAAGCACATCCTGATTTCCATATTATATCTTGCCAAATGCAGAGTGCAACTGTGTGCACTTGCCTTGTAGATTAGGGAAAACAGCCAATTAAAAAAGTAAAATATCCTTGAGAGTGCAGTGAGTGCGTCCACTCTGTATTAGGAAGTCTGGAAACAACATGACAGCTGCCGCCACACAAGTCCTTATAAATGTAAAGATGCAATGTACAGAAAATAAAGGCATTACTACCATTACTTCACATGATACATCACTGATAAGCCTGATGCAGAGCTGTTTGGGCAGAGAATGAATCTCTAAAAATTTCCCAAAGTCTAATTTAAAAATGGAAATTTAGATTAGTACCTGTCTTTGCAGGCTTGCAGAAGCCTCGGACCCAAATAAGAGGCCCTTAGGAAGGGGGTGTAAATTAAACCTTGGTAAGCAGGCCTATGAAAGTCTAAGATAGGGCAATTTGCATGCTGCTGAGCCAGATGAAAAAATAAATCACAACAGTACAGATTTACCTCTGGACTTGGTCCCTGTGACCAAAGGAAGGTTCCTTCCAATGGCCCTTGTTAAGAGAGGAAACTTCCAGGCCATGCACAGTCATTGGAGACCTCTTAGTGCATGTCATATTAACTAGAATTGAGACTTGTAGTGGAAAACCATTGTGTGGTGGACTGACATAGTGAAGTCTGATTGGATATAATGTCTGAAGTTTGTAGCACTGGACATTATTACTTGCTATTTGTTACTCTTTCATGTCAAGGACTAATAGTTTTCGCTATGTGATGGGAGACCCACTGCTCCCATCCTCGTTGCTTTGCACAAACGGCTCAGAGACCGCCTTTCATGTAGATATTGTGCATTATTTACAATATTTCCCTCCAGCACCTTTTACCTACTAGTGCAGTCACACTATTTACCATGTCCTCTAGTTTTACTACCCCTTCTCCAAAGGTCGGGGGAGAAAAGAGGTCTCCTCCCGGAGAATTTCCCTTTTGTCAGGCCCTATTAGCCTTTCTCGCTCTTCTGCTTCTCCCCACTTGCACTTCCTTCCTGTGCTCTTTTCTCCAGTCTCCTTGTTAATGGGCTCATTAACTACCCAGCCCCAATCTAATATGTAATCAGGAACTCCTCTCGTTAATCAGGTCTTGCTCGGGGACCTGATTGGTTAAACAGCGCCCAGAGTGTTGGTTCAGTTGCTGATTCTCAGCATTCTGTCACACTCTCTAAAGCAAAAATTCCAACAGAGGATGTCAGAGGAAAATGCTCCATATAATGCAGGAATTGTTTTCCTACTTTTTGTCAAAAAACAAACAAATAAAAACCAACAACAGCAACACAAACAACCAGCAGTGTTTTTCTTTAGCAACTTTGCAAGACATACAAGTAATAAGTAAAAGCTTGAGGGAAATCCAGTTAAATCAAAAACAAACCTAACACTTTATTTGTAGTGCTGTTGGCCAGCACTGGAGATTGAGCCCAGGAACTTCTACAGCTGAAGTCATGAGTCTGTATGGTTTCAGCTAAAAAACAAGTGTTTGAGCTGAGAGCCCTAACAGATTCCTATTCTATGTAAACAGGGCACGCTGGGTTACACTGTTGTTAGTGGACAGTTTTGCTAGTGGATAGTTCTTAACAGTCCATGACAGAGCTGACTTATAGGTGTACAACCTGTTCACATTTCTACACCGTATGCACATTTCTGATGGCTCCCCTGTGCTCCAGCTTCGTATCCTGATGCATAAGCAAGAGAGGAGGGGTGTGGTGTGGTTGGAGAGTGAGACTGGCTCTGGAAGAGCCTCCTTCTGCTCAGTCCTGATTGGCGGGGGGGGGGGGGGAAGTTGCTCCTGTCCAGTTGTAGAAATTACACTCCTGGGGGAATTCTGCGCCACTGCACATGCGCAGAATTTATGTTCCCCGCAGATTTCTTTGCTTTCCTGCAGAAAAGTGACTTTATGATGGGGAAGCAAAGGGAAGCCACAAGAGAGGTCATGTGACCCTCTCCAGCAGTATGTTTTAGGTGTCCAGGGCAACCCGCAGAGAAGTAAATCACTGTGGGGCAGGGGACAGGATTGGGGAAGATCCAGTTGGTGGCTCCTCCCCTGTGCTGGGCTCAGCTGCTAGTCCCGGTTGGGCTGGGGAGGATGGGATTTCCTCTTCCCCTGCATGGCATACGGGGCCATGTCAGACCCACCCCTAGCTGTAAGAAGCTCTGCAACACCCTCTATTCCCCCCGCCGCACTTCCTGCGCCCATCGCTCCTCAGCTGCAGGAGGAGAGAGCACTGTACAGGGAGCTGCTCCCCCATCCGCCCCAACCCCCGTGCATCCAGACCCCCTCATACCCAGACCTTCCCGCTGAACCTCACCCCTCCCCACCACCCAGAACCCTCCCTGTACATGGACAACCCCAACCAGCCACCCCCACCTGGATCCTCACACTACCAAGCCAAAACCAGCTGCACCTGGATCCCTGCCCCACTCCCCCAACATCTGGACCTCCCCACTGACCCCCCTGGACCTCCCTGCGGCGCTCTATCCCCCTCACACCCAGACCCCCCCACTTAGCCCCAACCACCTTCATCTGGACCCCCCTGCAGAGTCCCATTACCATTGCACCCAGAACCCCCCAACAAGCCCCTTTGCTTCCAGATCCCCCGCGCTCAGATCCCCCACTGAGCCACCTGCACCCAGATTGCCCCACACAGAACCCTCTTAACCCACACCTGGATCCCCCCACACTAAGCCCCTCCACGCTTGAATTCTGCCTTGCTGAGCCTGACTGCCCAAACCTGGTGCACCTGGAACGGAGGAGCAGGGCCCTGGGGTGTTGCTGGGGCAGACCCGGCCCCTGCACTGTGTCAGGGTTGGGTGCAGCCTCACCACTGAGTCCGTGTCCCGGGGCGGGAGCTGCACAGTGAATAAAACTAGCATTTTGAATTTTCTTCTTGTGTTAATCCACTGGACAGCACATCCCTCTTTAAGCTAATTTCTAGCCTGCCTTATTATTAAACATAAGAGCTACCTTATTGGTATACTTTCTGTTTGAGCATAGTGTTCTTCTGATTGTCAAAATCACTGTTAAAACTACCCAGAAAATGACTTGTCACTGAGAAGTCAGTGTTTATAACCTGTCACTTACTGACAATTTTTGTGGCTACCAGAAAGTTTCATAAATACCCATTTTAATTACAAGTTTTATTTAAATTAAAATATATTTCTCAGTTTATAAATAGTGAGAAATATTTGTCTACTATGCAAGTTTCAGAGTACACTGCTGAGGAAGGCTCTGCTTAGGAGCAGCCTCTTTCATGTAAGTTTCTTTCTTTCTTTCTCTTTCCAACACAAGAGTGTATTGGTCTGTGCCCTCAAAATAAAAATCTGATGACAAAATAGCTATTTGAATTCAATTCTATTACTCCTTTTACTATGGCCTCATTGTCCATTGTACTGCATAAGTAATCATAAGGATGGGAATTTCAAAAGCATTGCAAGGAGTCAGATGCCGAACTATTGACTCTCTGTGGGAATTGGACACTTTTGAAAACTCCACCCTTCATAGTTTTAAGGGCCTGATCCCACAATTCTCCATGTGCAGGACTCATTAAAATCAGCAGGAGCTCAGCATGCCTAGGACTAGGCCACAGGTGTCCAAATTCCTCCCTCAGTGGGCCTGATCCAAAGCCCATTATAATTAATGGAAAGATTCCCCTTAATAGGAGTTAGCAAGAGTACAACAAATCTCTTAGCTATTTTAGATCAGGTTCTGTTATGGTTCCTCTCTCCGAATCTTTGCATTGACTTCAGTAGGCTCTGGTTTAGGCCCTTACACAGTTACAAAACCTCCTGCTAATCGATAACCTCAGTGGCGGAACTAATGATGGTGGGAGTCTTTAGGTATATGTTTGGTGCATTTCAAGCCAATAAGTATAAATGAAGGTGCCACCACCAATGGCCCATTGCCCTCCCCCCAGCTCCACCACTGCTCCAAACCTGGCTTCACTACTGGTAACCTATTGAAGTTCTATAACAGTACTTAATGATTAATGATTTACTCTAGGTTTATTTGTACTGCTAGGGCTTCTCTACATAGTGCATTAGCCCACACCAGTGGGGTGTAAATTCTAGTGCGCACTAGTATGTTGCACACTAAATGGCCCATGTGATCCCTGCTGGCATGCACTAAATCTCCCTAGTGCATGTTATTATAAGGCCGTTTCAAACAGTACTATGTTAACACGCACTAGTGAGATTTCAGTGAATGCCAGCAGGGTCCACATGGGTCAGTTCGCCTGTGACACGCTAGTGCGCACTATAATTTACATCCCTCTGGTGTGGACTAATGCCATCTGTAGACAAGCCCTTATGTTTCTTAAATTGGCTAGATAGGACTTGTTACTGCTTTTTATTTATTTATTTTTAAAAACAAAAAGCAGGGCTTCCTGTGGTGTGCAGGAGAAATCCTGTTCACAGTGGAAAGCCCGCCTCCCTAGCTACTTTAGTTCTTGGTCTGGAAAACAGCTATGGAAGTGTGTATGTGGCTCCGGAGGGATTCCTATGCAATAAGATGCGTCCCCCCCTTGCATTTTCACCAGTCAGCTGTTAGAAGAGCGGTGATGTATGAGCACATGGTTTTGTGTAATTATGGTTTTCTTGTCTCTTTTTCCCCATATTTTTAAATTTGGGATTTTTTTAAATTTAAATTTTGGGTATGGGAGAAGGAATTCAGTACCATTTTAAAAATAATTACCCAGATGTTGGGAAAGCAGCCTGCAACTTGCAGCTCAAACAAGCATCAACAAAAAACAGTAAATAAAATCCTGCTGTAGGGTAGGTGGGGATAAACTGACAAGTTGACAGCTGTAAAGTAGTGGACTATATGTGCAGGTACAGTCCATCCCTGACTTCAGACCCCATTGGAAGTAACTGCCTGAGGCGAATCCCTACAGCACTAAACATGGCTGCTGTATAATTGTTTTATATGTGCAGCCTGAGAAGTAAAGACCATTGGTTTGACACCCCCTCCATTTTTAGTGTGGAGATGAATAAGCTCAGTGCTACCCAGTGAAGCATGTGTGGACTGCTACACTGAATAGCCATTTGCTAATTCTGCTTCCTCTGGAATCGATAACAAAATTCCTATGGAAGCAGGATCAGGGTTCAAACGTGGTTTTGCAAGCAGATTATCAATTGGGTGTGCAGGAAGAAGCCTTGAATATGTCAAAACCATGTCTGCTCCAGGATCAATATTTTAAAAATACTATAAAACGTCAAATTTACCCTGGGAATTTTTCACACACCCCTTGCCTGAGACATATTAGTACAAATTAAATTTCAAACCACTCAAGTAGTAAGTGGTCGGACTGGCTCTCAGTTATTCATGCTACTAGTGCAGTTTGGGAATATTGTAAAAATATTTAAACTACCATTTACGCTAGTTTTACAGTCTCTTTTACAGACGGTGTAGAAATGATACCTGTTGAGTATAAATGTTTCACAGATTAGCATGGCATTCATCCTTAGGGCAGGGACAAGGACGACTAGTGTGCACTTTGATGAAGAAAATGTAAGCTAAATCCACAGTTCCAGTGATCTGTTAATATCTAAATCAGGGGTTGGCAAACTTTTTGGCCCAAGGGCCACATCGGGGTTGCACAACTGTATGGAGGGCCAGGTAGGGAAGGCTGTGCCTCCCCAAACAGCCTGGCCCCTGCCCCCTCCCACTTCCTGCCCCCTGACTGCCCCCCTCAGAACCTCCAACCCCCCTGATCCTTGTCCCCTGACCACCACCCCCGAGACCCCGCCCCCTATCCAACCCCCTGCTCCCTGTCCCCTGACTGCCCCAACCTCATCCACACCCCCGCCCCCTGACAGGCCCCACAGGACTCCCACCCCCTATCCAAATGCCCTCTGCTCCTCGTCCCCTGACCACCCCCTCCTGGGACCCCCCTGCCCCTAACTG